GCCCAATTCAGGATGCACAGGTAAACTAATTTGTCCAGTATGTTACTAAGCTACACACTGAACACACCTCACAGGCTGTGTTGGCAGCTTCTATACTATTCCTTAGTAATGTATAGCCCACACTGTTGCGTAGTCTTCACTTTTGAAAGTTTTTAAATCAACTTTCTAATTGCTATAAAAGCCTAAACCTTTTCTGATCTACAAATCTTAGGTATATAAGTATCCTAAAAAGAAAGCCCTTAGCAATCGCAATTTGGAAGTGCATCCCCTAATTCAGTAACGTGAGTTTCTAGGTGGTAACTGTTGGGAAACGTATTTAGATTCTCTTAGTTATAAAACAGATAAAAAGATACCAGATGACACAAACAAAATGGATTTGAAATAAAATTAAGCACTCTGTGTTTCAATAAAGCTCAAACTTCGTTCAGTTTACTGGATTGCAGTCATAAGAGTGCGTATTTTGGAGCAGATAAGAAACACTCTCATGGGGAACCGATTTTGTCAAAAAACGCTGATGGGATTCAGTTCAAATGCTGTGTGGGAATGTTGACAGAAGTGTGGATGGAACGGATAACCCCGCCGTGGTGCCCGCCTGCCGTGCGGGAGCTGCCGGCTCCTGTGTGTGGGGCTGCAGGGCTCCGGCTCTCTGAACCGCCGGGCTGGGGGGCTGCACACCCTCCCTCTGGCTAGGGGTGAGCAAGAAGCTGTTCTGAAATTCCTGCTTCAGGGTCTGCTAGCTGGGGGGAAAAAAAAAAAGTGGGTGGTTTGGGTTTTTTTTCTTAATTCTGAGTTGCTCTCCAAATTGCTTTCTTGGAGAGGGTTTTTTCTTTAACTTTGCCATGTTTTAGGGGTAAAAAGGGGATGGGGCAGGAACAGATTTCAGAGGGAATGCTTTGTAGGGTGGCATTTCTGCTTTACAGCAGGTGCTGGTAGGGACTGAAGGAGGGGGCTGAAGGGCTACATGCACAGATGGTGATAGACCATGCTGTACCAGTCTGGGAAAATGATTAATCAATACCACAGGGATTTATTCTAGCTCTAAGTTCTTTTAATTTAGCCTTATGTTTCTCTGCTCAGGAGTTCTGTAAGAGAATGTTCTAAATGTGATGCTGATTCAGGATCGTGGTGATTTTTGAAAGTAATCAAAACAAGTCTCTGTTTTTTAGCTGGATCTTGTTGCAAATGGCAGTGAAGAGAACAAATGTTCTACCCATGTCTCTAATTGGAAGTTGCATAAATATGGCTTGGATTTTAATGAAGGGGACTTGGGAAAGTAATACTGAGAAATAGCAAATGATGAGTGAGCAAGATGTTTCATGCACATTTTTCGTAATCCTATTGCACTTATGTTGCTGTAGGCAACCTTCATTCTGTTCCTTCCCAAGTTTTGAGAGTTTGCATTTCTGACTTCATTGATCTCTTAAAAGAAATCCTGTAACTTCATAAATTTTGATTTTTGGCAAAATAAAGAGGGGGTGAAAAAAAATAGAAACCACCTGAAATGGCATTATTTACACCAGTGTAATTCATTAACAGCATTGGAACTTTTAGGTTCCTGGTGCAGATCTTTGCTTCTTGAGTTACTGGAGGATATTGTCATCATTTATGGAGTGTTGGAGGAAGAAAATGTCTTCCAGTGAGCACAAGACTCCTTATCTCTTGTTTAATGTTAGTCACCTTCCCTCTGCATGGCGTTTCCTCCTTGTCTTGTTCTGTTCTCTCACCTGGGTCAAGATTTTACTAACCTGGTTTCTTTTAATACTTACTGCCTTGGAGTTTTCTGCCTGAGCTAGAACCTCTTCCCTCTCTGTGCTGGCTTGTAAGGCTTCTTTTAGGCACTTCCTTCCCTCTGATGCTCCTTATCCAAAACAAGCCACCTTTTCTCCTAATCACAGCATGAAAGCTTCCTGTTCAGGATGTGCTTCCAGTACTTCCCCAAATGTTGGCAACCAGTTCTCCCCTACAAGGTAGTTCATCACATCTTTAGTTCCTGTCCTCTGCCTCATTTAGCTCTTCAGACCATCTTCCCTCTGTCCTGCTTGTTTGTTTCCCACCAGCTTGCTGATAGCAATTCCCTCTCCCAATAGACACGTGCTTTCTCTGGTCAGCTCTTAAGTTTGTCCTGACTCTCTCCTCCCATTTCTGTTTAATACCCAACCACTTTCCTGGTTCTCTTCATTTCCCTATTCATCCCCATTGTCTGTCTGTCACCTTGTCAGTATTTCACTTTCTTCTTCCACTGTGGTGGAGTAACTGAGGTTGCTGGAAAGGTGGACCTGAATTGTCTGTGGGGACTCAACCTTAATCCAGCAGGAGCTATACTTAGAGGAAAAATAGCCTTGAGCCAAAGAACACTTGCTTGTTCCATCAAAATGGCTCCTGATTGGACCTAATGTGTGTGGGAGGTTGGAGCACACCTCTGAAATCCTCAGAGATTTTAGTCAGATCCTTAAAAATACTTACACTGTATTTGTAAATATATATATATGTTGTAGGCAAGGAGAACTTGTCACCCGACACTGAGGGCACAGACAGGTTCTTTCGGGGATCCTTGGAAGAATGATGATGATGGCACTAATCATAGGTACAATTAAATAATTATTTTTGTAACAAGATATTAGCACAGAATTTATTATTAGAATGGCACATGATTTTTACAAGCAGAATCAGTATTGTACAATTTATAAGTAGCATAATACAGAATTTGTAATATGACCTCGTTTATTTCTGGACCCTTTGCACACCAAGACAAATCTTTCATGCATCATATCAATATAACAATCATAATCTAGACTCACCATTCATATAAAAGAATACGAATCACTCCTTCAATTCTTGGAGGAAGGAGAGGACATCCCTGGGCACTGGTGGATCCCAGATCTCACTGTGCAGCAGCAGCTGCACAGTCCAAGTTCCCCCGTTAGGACTGGGGTCCGCTTTATTTATAGACAGTGCTGTGAGAGCTCTGAGACTCCCATATTCTGTGGCCAGGCCATTGCCATCACCTGGTGGCCCTGGGTGCCTGGGGCCTTTAGGGTGGCAAGGGAGGGAGCAGCCAACATAGCACCCAGGAACTGAGGGGAAGAAGAAATCTTCATTTTGTCTCCTTGGTTGACAGGACCTTCAGGGGTTGATAATGAGGGGAAAGAGAGCACAGGGAATGGTTTCTTGCCTCATAGAAGGGTGCTGGTTATAGTGACCATGCTTTCAGGGGTTGGGAGCAGGGAATACCAGTCACAGAATGGCCCTATGAACAGTTGGTTTTGCTGTGAGCAATTACTTTGGAAGAGACCTAAGCAACAGACAGCTGAATTTTACAACAGAATGTTGTTGACTTTATTAACGATAATAGGGGCTCCCAGGTTCCCTGTTAATATCAGTGATGGGTGTTAGTAACACTCAAGGACGTTTTGTTCTGCAGAAATGACCTACAAGTGACTGAAAGCTGTGGTGCTAACTTCTGGGATGGGAAGAAGTTACTTAGATTAATAAAAAGATGCATTAAACAGGAATGTCATGTGTAAACCAAAGTCACTTAAGGCTGAGTATCAAGTTTGTAAAGCAGTATGCTATCGGATGTTTTTTTCAAGGAATTAAGAGAAATTCTCTTTTTTAAATGTTTGCGTTGACCAGATGAAATGCACAAATATCCTATAAGGAGCCCTTCCATGTTAATGGGAGGAAGATGGTGAAGCAAAATATTCTTTTATTTTGTCTCTTCTGAAAGAGCATGTGTTTGAGTTCTAGAGATGCAATATATAGCATATCCTCAAGTGGTGTTCACAAAGGTACTTTCCCCTGTCATCCTTAAGTAGGACGTAGAGCCCCTAAATACCCATGGAAAGTTAAATGCAAGGAGCAAAAACTAGGCTCTGATCCAAAGCCAGTTGAAGCTGATTAAAAGACTGTATTTGGCTACCGAGGGCTCTGGCTTAAGCCACTAGCAAGCTAGAATTGAGTTTCAGGTGTTCAGACAGGCTTCTTGTGTTTGTTGAGTTTGTGGGTTTTTCTTCTGATTTGTGTTTGAGGTTCTGTCCGTGGTCATAGGAGATGTCCCAGTATGTACAGTACCTGAAGTCTTACCTATATTCACTATTGAGTTTTGAAATAGTAAGTGGATAATATTCAACACCTTAACTACACTTAACCACAGAATATGTGTTGGGGGTTTTTATGGCTCGACACTATGTAGGTACACCTAGATTGTGTACAATTGTATACCTGCACCACAGGTATACATAGGGATGATGTACTTACTCATACAAGATATGCCTACAGCTGGAATAGAGTAGAGGCAAGGAAAACATCTTTCCTTTGCATGGTTTGCAGTTCTTGGTTTGGCTAGTCTTTGTGTGCTCCTCCATTCTTCCCGTTCTGTTACATATCTAAACTTTTCAAACAGTGAAACAGAAGAGTTTTTCATACAAGAAGCATCTGTAGAGTTGCAAATATAGGTTAAAGTGAGAGGTGATGGTCTTGCCTGACTCAGATGACTGTTTTGTTTTACTTGTTTGTATACTTATCTTCTGTTTTAAAAGTAGAAAATAAAATATTTACATTTTATAGTAATGTTTTTTTGAGTGCAGTCCAAGTTAGTTCCTTCACTTAATTTCACTTGGCATGTTTCCCCAGTGAAGTTCAGGCCGGGCTGTGAAATTATAGCTGTAATATAGTTACTAGCTATCCATGTGCTGCGTCTCCGGTTTCTTCCAGTTGAGGAAAGTTGGAAAGTCACTTTTGGAGCTGAGTGAAGATTTCATTCCAAATGTTAGTAGAAGTGTAGAGCTTGTTCACTCTTCTATCTGAGCTCCATTTCACATATACTGTTCAACAGTAAAGTTTTCCACGCTACAAAAAAGGTTTTGAAAAACTCTGACCTACTGTTCTGTAATGTGTCATGAGGAGTGCGTTGTAGCGCTTGAGGGTCATAATGTTTGCGTCAGTTTGGGGAGATAAATTGGAAATTGTTTTAAAGAATTTCTTTCCTATTTGACCTCTAGGTTCCAGCAAGATGTGGAGTGACAGTCCGAGACAGCCTGAAGAAAGCTCTGATGATGAGAGGTCTTATTCCAGAATGCTGTGCTGTTTACAGAATACAAGATGGGTATGGTTTGTGTGGGATGGCCTTTTGTTCTTGGAATCCCTTAATGGAGCTACCCAGTATGGCCAGTTCTATCCAGGGTTGTGGAAGTTGTTTTCAAAGTTGAGAATTATATGATACTTTTCACTAGAACAATTTGTACCTCGAAGACATGTTGGAAAGAATGGCAAACTCCTAGAAAAAGGCTCAGGCATAATATTGAGTAATATGAGCTTATAGACTACTGGCAAAACACCCATTAATCAAACTCTGGCTAGCCAAGCAAATAGGTTGTGTTAACTTCTTGGTTTTATTTCACGTGGTTATAATGCATTCTTAACTAAAAACAAGGATTCCCTTGGGGGAAAAAAAAGAATTTTCAGGCCTAAAAAGTTTGTAGATTATTTTAGTTCGCGCAATTAGCCATCTCTGTGGAACTCTTACGCAGCAGGTACTTTATTTGATCAAAAAAGCATCTTTCACCTTGGAACCAAGGAATTGGCTACTACTAGAGCTGACTGGAAAAAGGTGCCTTTCCTTCATGCAGTTTGTCCAGGGAAGCTGTGCCTTATTTGCTGTGTGCTACTGTGTCTTGCCTTTAAAATTTCCGGCATTTAGAGCCTGAGTAGCAAACCCCCACAGTGCAACGTTTTAGCTGATCTCACAACTTGGGCAAGAGACGTGCAAGGGCTTGTGCTCTGATGCTAATGAGAGGCTTATTTGCACTTTAGGGAGAAGAAGCCAATTGGCTGGGACACAGACATTTCCTGGCTCACGGGAGAGGAGCTGCATGTGGAAGTCTTGGAGAATGTGCCACTCACGACACACAATTTTGTATGTTCGTTTTCTGAGATACTGAGGAGGGTTACATTAACTTTGTACTTTCAAATTCAAATCAACAACTTGAAATATTTTCTATCTGTGGCATGTGGTGGGAGTTGCAAAAGAAGTTTTTAATCACAGTAGCTTAAGTGAATGAGATAGAATTGTATTTGAAGTAAGTGATGTTAGAGTACTTGATCACCCTTAAAACTTTAAGGTTTGGATGGAATACACCCTCTAAAGTCTATAAATGTAGGAGGTTTAAATCAGCACTGCATTGCAGAGCTGTAATAACAATCTACTATTTTAGTATTGCTGTATCTATAAAATGTATTCTGGGCCTCCCTGCTGGCTCTGCAGCAGCAATTAACTAATGAACTAACTATTCCCAGAGCAGTGCTGACATCATCAATGATGCTGGTGCACAAATATGTTTTGACCTGATAAGGCACCAAGTAAATGGAAGCTGCTAAACAAAATCCATCTAAATGGTACCAGCTAAATACAAAATCCTGGAAATAGTTTGTCACATTGGGAAGAAAGACCTTCTATTTCAATTTTAAAAATACCAACATTTTATCAGCAAGCTGCCTAAAATATTTTACTCAATCTAGTTGGGCTATGGCTAGTTAGATGAAATGTAGTAGGCTTAACGTTTTTTTAATATCCTTCTGAAATTTTGATCGATACATGTAGTAACGGAACTAGATTGTGTTTCTATGCAAGGTTTATCTATATTAGAAGATTAACTAGATCATTTCTCCCCCCTGTAATTTGGGAATAATACATGATCACCCTTTTGTGATTCTAAATATTTGAGTTTCAGTAATCAAAATTAAAACTATATGTGTAAATATACATTGAAGCCTTATATATAAACCATATATGTATTTCCAGTTCTGTGAGTGTAGGACAGAAATGTTATTTGGCTCCTGGAAAAATTAGAAGATGAGATAATATTTCAGCAGCTTTTGTTTTTATAGGTTGTATCCAATTAAATCCTGAATGTTTGTCCCTAGCATGATAATAGTGCAGTTTTGCTTCAGATTTGCTGCTGTATCTGTTTGGTACATAAAACTGTGGCTCTAGTATCAAAAAAGAGGCTTGTTGAGTGCATTTGAGGGAGACAAAAGCCAATAGGCTGTCTCAGGTTTACAGAAGGGCTCTGTGTAATTGTGACCATCTCTTACGTCGTAGGTACGAAAAACATTCTTCACGTTAGCGTTCTGCGACTTCTGTCGAAAGCTGCTTTTCCAGGGATTCCGGTGCCAGACATGTGGCTACAAATTTCACCAGCGCTGCAGCACAGAAGTGCCACTGATGTGTGTTAATTATGACCAACTTGAGTAAGTAATCGCAATTGGTTTTCCAGTTGAGCCTTTTAGTAAGTGTACAGCTGTCAGTGGTTTCTTGCATTAAATCTGGAATTCAGGAAGTCAGAGGAGGTGCCTGAAAGAAAAAAAATAGGGTTTCAACTGTTCTTGTGAGACTGCTTAATTCATATTCTTTCTTTGCTAACTCAGACAACCAGTTCATATTTCTTTGCTGGACTGTGAAGTGCTTTCTTTGAAGCATGAGTAGGATTGCTGAGCACTTGATTGTATCAGACAGACTTCTCATTGTTCACAGTTGTTATTATTAATCAAAACTGGTTCTTTATTATGTGATGGCTAGGGCCTCTGTTTAAATTTTTAGCTCTGTGTTTATTCTCTTCAACCTGAAAAAAATGTTAAGAGACACCAGTTGAATATAGTGAAATTGCAGTTAGTTTTACAGGGATTGAAAACAAATCTATTAGCAAGATAAATGCCTAGGTAAGAAACAAAAGAAAATGTCCCAAACAGTCGTGTTCTTCAATTGAATTACTGATCTATTTGTCTAAGTCTTTGATGTAGGTTAAGGATCTGGTGTAAAATGGCTCTGTGTTCTATTTCATCAGTTTTAGAAGAGACTATTAAGTCTTTTAAATAGATTTTCATATAATGAAAAATTTAAAATGCTAGTTTTCCCCCAAGAATTAATTGAGTTTTATCTTATGGTTGTAACTATTTACATGGGCATCTCTAGAGTTTGTGCTCAGGGTTTATGGATTATGTAGTTATATCCATTTGACATTTGTTTTTTGGTGTTACATCAGTGCAAATGTTAAAATAAGTTTATGTACTCAACATATAGGTATAGGTTGTGCATTCTTGAGGAACCAGATGTTTGCAATCCAACTAAAAGATTGAAAAATTACTTTCCACAAAGGTTGTGTTTAAGGCATGATCTTCTGTTCCTCTCTGAAGTAAATAATATTTTTAACAAATCTTGCAGATTTAATGTGTAAATGTAATGTTTATTTTAAAATTTAGATTCTGATCAGTGAACTTTTGGGGGTGTCTTGTAGTCTGTGGGTGTTATATTGTGAAGCTTCTGGGTTTTGCACAAGTTAGGTTGTTTTTGTTTTGTTCTTGCCTCACAGTTTGCTGTTTGTCTCCAAGTTCTTTGAACATCACCCCATACCACCGGAGGAGGCCTCCTTAGGAGAGACCACCCCAGCATCTGGATCGTACCCCTCAGTGCCCCCCTCAGAGTCTGTTGGGTATGACCTTATTCCTGCTGTTTAATAACATAACATTTCAGTACTGTGCTTAGAAACACTCAAAATACTGCTTTGCAGCTCTTACGTTTTTGTAATCTGACTTGTCGTACAAATATATCCACCTATGCTTAATTTAAAACAAGTGAATGTTGTCATTCACAGGAATGATATAAATTAGTAATGAAACAAAGTTAAATGTGTATGTAACTGTTTGTAGAATTGAGGCCTTCCCTGTTAAACTGATTTCTTCTACATGATGGCTTAGACCTGGTCTAAACTGGAAAGATTTTATACTTAAAATTATTACAAACCTAAACTATATCCTCACAAATTCTTTTAGTTGGTTATCAAACTACAGTTTATTTGCCTTGAAGTGACATACCTCAGTTTCAGAATAAACCACAGCACTGTAAGGTTGGTGTGAACATGTGCCAAGTCCAGGTTCCTAATACTGCTTTAGTAGCTTTTCCACATACACATTGCTTTAGTATCTTCCAGACCAGCTGTCTTCTTCCTGTTCATGTTGGGATGTACCAGTAGCATCTGTTTGCTGCAGCTCCAGGTTTTGCAAAATTAGACCTCTAAAACTGACCATCCCCCCTGTACTTCCAACAAAGATTCTGGACTCTTTCTCCTTGAAGAGATAAGTGACCATATTTAAATGAAACCCCGTAGCAAAGAGATCGATGCCACCATCCAGCACTAGGTAGTTGAACAAATCTCTGGGAAAGAGTAACTTAGGGATGTGTATCACAGTCAAGAAACCTAATGCAGATTTATTAAGAACACCAAATACAAAAGCCTTCAGAAAACTATCCTCAGGACATGTGTGCTGCATGGAATTGAGCTGAATTTGTCAGAGAGGCTCTTCTGGATTAGTGAGCATTGTGCCCAGACTAAAGCAGAAACAAGCTGGAAGCTACACAGGCACCTGTGGACTCTTAACTAGAAGATAAATTCTCTGGACAACCAAGACTATTTTATGGAAGATCAAATATGATGCCTCCCAGGAAAATAGATTGATAGTCCTGCAGAGGGAACTTAATTTGGTAAGTACAGAGATTATCTTCTTATTTGTACTATGTAGTACCTGCAGATTCAAGTAAATTCAAAAGTGCTTCTTCCAGGTAGCAGATGTTGCCTTTATATCCCACGAATGTTAGTACAGGAGATTGTGGACAAGGCTGTTATGGTTCTCCTAAGTGCAGCAGGCTCTGCCTTTCTCATGGTACAGCTGAAATTATAACCAGGCTAGAACTATTAATCCATTAAAAACTTGTTCATACCAATTGTGTTAAACAGCAGCAGATGCCAAAGGCATTCTATAACCATAATCCTAATACTCTAAATTTTTCTACTTTTTAATTGTCTTTACCTGACATTAGTCCATTCTTACCAGTTCATGAGGACACAACAGTATGGAGTATCTTAATTGATAAGACTTCAGTTAGTCTTAGTTTTGTGAAGTGAAAATGCAAAGGAAAAGCTGAAATCAAAACTGGTTAATGCTTTAAGGTTTTTAACTTGACATATATAAAAATATTAACATTTAAATATACTTGCCAATTGGTGTTAAGACGCTTTTCCCAAGTGTTGGATCTGCAAATGTTTGTAATTGCAGAAGCTGTAGAAAGTGTCTGGCTTCCTCCTTTTTGCTTTCTTGCTTTGCCATACACTTCTTTGTTAAACAAGCAAAAAAAAAAAAAAGACATACATCATGCCTGCAGTATGTTAATTTTGAAAATGGTTTATGATTATCAGCTGGTGTTTGTAAATAATATGCATGTTAGTCAGGCAATCTTCCCCAAGCATCTGTGTGTGGATTATTTCCTTTTCAGAACTATCTCAGATGTTATTATTTGAGCGTATAGCACTGTCCATACCTTTTTCCAGGTATCTTTTTGCCTTTCTTTAGTAATACTTCTCTGCTTTTAAAAAACATAATTGTGCAAATGTTAATTTGTCTGAACTTAAACTGGCCTTTTCCATAAAAGCATACTTACCCGTGGTTTTGTTAAAGGGTATTGCAACAATTTGGGACAACAGGTCAACTGGAACAAAAAAAAGGGCTGACATTTGAGGTTATCTTGTCTGGGAGGGAGAATAAGGGATTGAAATTTGAGAGCTGGGCAATGGGATGTAAAATGTGAGGAACTTGCACTTTAATAACACTGACTAGATTAATAATTGTTCCTTTGATTTCTCTGTTCTCCTAGCATCTTGCATGGCACAGCCCACAGAGGAAGGGGATGTCACTAATCGTTTGGTAAACCTGAGGAAAGAGAAGGCAAACATCCTTCTTCATCTCTAGCCTTGTGAAGGGATTCCAGCAGCAGGCAAAGTGCCCAAAGAAAGGAAGTTTGTGTTGCAAGACAAGCTCGAGAGCAAAGGCGTGTGTGACATGCTGAGACATTGTCAAGGGATCAAATGGAAAAGTGTGAAAGAGAAAGGGACCTAAAGGAAAAGACCATTGGACGTGATGCAAAAGCTGCTAAACATGCTGGAGAACTGTTTCACTGTGGTCATGTGTAACATCCTAAAGCAATCCAGTCCTGTAGCCCTTCATTCTTCCAACTGCAAGCCTTAGGCAGTCCCTCCTGGTGTTCCACCCAAAGATGAGGGAGCACATATTGTCCCACTTGCACATCTCTGAACCCCTTATGAAAGTGTGTCCAGCTTCTGCATGAGGTCTTGTGTCCCATTTTAGTTTCTTTCCATTTGCACATTCCTCTTGAGCTAAAGCAGCCATCTTAGTTATAACTGGAAAGAAATACAAGAAGTGTAGGTCTTCCTAAGGAGAGCCATTTGCAATAAAATCAAAGTAAGCAAACTGTATATGATACATTGTATTCATTTTGTTCATTGCAGTGTCATAAAGGTTCTTCTGTATCTTTGCTCGGAAAGCACAGAATTTCTGTGAACCCAGTTCCCTCCATCTCAGACACCTGAATAAGGGAGAGATTAGCTGTTCAGAATATTCCAAACTTGTCTTTTTCAACTCTGATCTGTTCTCTTAGATGTTGTGATGTTGGACAAAGCTCAGCACACACATGAGGCAGGTCTCACAGCAGGGTAAGTGGAGTGGTGTAAGAAGGGCACGTGGTCAGACTTGGAACAGCACAGGGGCAGGCATTTGGTGAAAGCCCAAAAAGGTCTGCTTTGCTCAGGCAGAACACTGCTGGTAGGGAAGCTGGCAGCATCTTGGCTCTTGGAAAAACAACATTTCCCAATATGCTTCATCTTCTAAATTGGAGGAAGAAAGAGGGAATGTCTGGTGCACCATTCTTGGAAACTTGCCAGTCCCTGCCTTTGAGCAGGCTCCAGCCTGTGATTAAACACCTCTGCTTTCCTTTCTGTCTTCCAAATGTTCACTGATCCTTCTGCCTCAGCTGAAGAGATTTAAATGTCTAGAAAAGCTTCTGAAAAGCCAAGGAAGGAAAGACACAGTCTTACAATATTGTACTTAGTACTACAATGGCATTTAGATCCATTTAGATGGTGTTTAAGTGAGCAAAAGCTTTGTGTTTTATTTCATAAAACAATGACATTTTCCCCTAAAGATGCCAGCAGAATCCTTCCCAGGCCTCTCCATGTAAATGTTCCCAAAGTTCCTACAGCATGCAACTTGATACGCATTCTTGCCAAGCAGAAAAGGTCTGGTACCAGAATCTTTAGAAAAATCATTTTTAGCCCGTACAACAGGTGGGGGAAACCTCTTGTTCTCCAAAACTTTATTAGAAGAGCACACTAGTGAACTGACACCTGGTTTGGAGGACTAATGACAGCAGCGTGATTTTCTTGGTGTATGAAGCTTTTGGAAATTTTAGGCTTATCAGCTCCAATTTTGGCCCAAAGGCCAGTATAAATAAATGCACACTGTTGTGATAATCCTGGCGGTTGTTTTTCACCTACAAGCCAGCATGGATGAAAACAAGTTATCATGGTATAGCAAACTGCGCTGATTTTTATGAGGTAATGACTGTTACAGATCTGTCTCATGTTACTTTTAGACTGACTTAAGGGTGCTGCTAGAGTGATCTTCACATTGTAGTTACAAACTGATACTGCTGTCCTTTTCTCCAAAGCACCATTTCATTTGAGGTTATTCAGTATTTCCAGGCTGCAGAGTTGGGGGGGGAAAAAAATCATGTTTTCTGGCAATATCTGTGCAGTACCATGATAATTAAATCAGAACCTGTTTGACCTCAGCAATTTACAGTGCTAGTGTAGCTGAAATACCCTTGTATCCCAGATCCTTAGCAGTCCTTAGAAGCTGCTTGAAAATGGGAGTGCACTGTGTTTTTCATTAACAGCAGTAAAAAAAAACCAAATCCATTCATACTCTGGTGTAAACAAAAGTAATCAAAAAAAGTACCTTAATATGCATTTTAGGTGTGGCCTAGGTATGAGTGTGCAACCTGCAGGTGAGTAGTGTGTACAGTACCGAGCCCTGTGGCTGAACTGAGATGTAGTTGTTCAGGCTGGAAGGGGGATAGAGAAAATCTCACAGTCCATTCAAAAAGGAACTGGCACACACCCCATAATTGGAGCTAGGTGAATGTGAATTTTCAGTTTAAACATTTGCCCAACTGCAGCAAAATAAAAGTACAAGCAAAAAACCTTGAAGCCCAAACTAACATATTTTAAGAAAAATCTTTCCTGAGTAGACCAGCTCTTAAACAATCATGAAACATCACATTGGTGAGTAAAAAGAGATTGCAGAAAGTTTGTATAAAAATCTTCTTTCATTTTTGTAAAGTGAACTAACTTATATCATTACAATTTCTAAAATCTGGTGGAGGTACTGTATATGATTTTGTAAAATTGTGTGTTCATATATAACGTACCGTGCGTGGACACTTCTCTGAGTTACCTTACTCTTTCCTGTGGATCCAGTTTTGTGGACTAGTAAATCTGAGGACACATTGGCATTTGCTGTGCTTGCTGAAAGGGTATAAAAATTTTACATCGTATATTCAGTTTTTCTTGTCTCCTGACAAAACCTCTTTCTGCTCTGTCTTGATAAAAAGGGAGGGAAAAATGTACTTGTCCCAGATGCATGGTCCAAGGTAAAAAGCATGTTCAGTCATATTGCCAGGAAAGGTTATTTGGCAACTATCAGCTTGTTGTCTCAGAAGCTGAGAATCATTGTTGAAGGAATGCCCACACCTAAGAGGCTGGGAAAAAGTGGTCAAGATTTTTTCTTTTTTTTTTTTTTTTTTCCCCAATGTGTTTCCCATAGCCTACAGATCAAGTTTTGGGACTGGCCTGGAATAGACATGTCACCCTTCTCCCAAATGGTGATGGCTGGTCATTTTAGCTCCAGTGTCACTTCTGCTCCTGTAGAGCAATTAAAGTGCAGGACTACTGTAAGAACAGACTTTTGGTAGCTCAGAGGATTGCCACATTCTTTGGGGTGACGTGCTTTTAGTAGATCAAGATCTCAATGCAGATCAAGATATAGCTTTTGCCACACAGAGGCAGAAGCTGGTGGTAATATCTTCTGAACCTGTGATCTCAGTAGGCCATCTTGGCCAGCAAACCACTCGTTCCTTTCTCTTCACTCGTTCCTTTCTCCAAGCAAAATTCCCATTTAGCAAAAATAACCTACCTTTTTGTACGTGTCCCAAGGACACTCAGTAATAAAATTCTGATGGAGTACACAGCTAAGTGCTTATGAGGTTCCTGTCTCTGGATTCTTGGTGTCTGAAGCCCAGAGATCCTCACAATAATAGTTCAGAGACGGAAGAAAAAAAAAAGCAAACTGTATTCTTTATTAGCCAGTAATTATTTACTAAAGAACTGGACTTCCCTCTGTTAGAATTTAATGAGTGGAAAAAGCTATTCAAATTGTTTTCAAATATTTGTGACATAGCACATTATCTGTGCTAGCAACATGATGGACATGGTGACCTGTGCCCAGAAATACAGAAGCAGCAGATGACCATTTATGACTCAGAGGAGGATGTAATTGAAACAATGTTTTTTCAGTCTGATTTTCTCTCTCTTGTCATATTGATGATCACAGAAAATCTGGTTGCTTCTGTCCTCATCGTGTGGCAGAGCTCAGATAGTGTCACACGCGCACTCCCACTGCAGTGATCTGATGGGTGTTCTTACACATCTCCCTTAATTTCCTTATTGCCAGAGAACTCTCAGGAAGTTTGAGCAGGAATTAGCTATCCAGACAATGCCAGTACTGGCCAGCCTGAGACACTATTTAGACTACTTGTATTTTTTTGTGCGACATCTGACACACTTGCCGAAACGTGAAAATAGAGTGCCCTAAAATGTCGACTGAGTGCATTCCCAATATTTATATTCTGTCATACTACAATAGGTAACTTTTTTTTTAATTAGCATGGCTAAACTCCCTACCTCTTTCCTGCCACACTTCCCAAACATGTGTGTTTTACTGCAAGACTTACTAGACTGTTGCTTGCGTTAATTTGCAAGCGCTTTGTTTTGCCAATCTCAATTTTGTGACATTGTCGGCCAGGAAGGAAAAGATGACAGGTCCTTAGGATACAGATAGCACTGAGTTCTGGGACCAGTGCCAAACTGTATAAACTCTTCAATGAAAGGTAAGATAGTAGTGCTTAAAGCAGACCTGATTCTTAAAAAATGCCAGGAGATCCTGTTGGAAATGTTTGTTGCCTCTAAATACCTTGGGAGAGGCCAAGGAGTGTTTACTTACAGGAGGTGGCTCCAGGACCTATCACTGCTATATGTGCCATACATTTTATTTCTGAAGCTTCTCCCTGTGGGTATTGCCTTTGTGGGCATAGTAATTCATCTGTGAGTCACTGAATGGGTGGGGGACTCCACTCCTTTCTTAGAACTTGCAAGAGAAACCCCAACTTCTAAAAACCTTGTTGTCAGATACCATGTATACTTTAACACAAAGTTTTCTTTGACAAAGCTGGCAAATATTTTCATTCATCTTTTGCCTTATATCCATTAGATTGAATTATTAGACTTAACAGGGACTGACCTTGACTAGAGTAAGAGAGAATTGCCAATTTATTGTACTTTAACAAAGTTATTGGATAACCAAAGAAGTGACATTCTGCCTTTTTATCGACAAAAACCCAAGTGTTTAGATGTTTTGTCTTTTAAATATTCAGTTAATTATATCATAAATTAAAGACTTTATCTACATTTACGACTGCCGGTTTTAAATTTCTTTCTGGTAGTCTGAACACTTATCATTCAGGTCAAACCTATGGCAATGCCTAGCTATAGCACTGTAAATAACATCTGAAATGTTGCACTATTCAAAGTTATTACCCACAGATTGAGGTTTAAAGGTGATATGTTTATTTTTATTATCAATAGTACATTAGCCATGTTATTTTTAGTATCAGTAATACTTGACCATGTTATTAATCAGTTAGGTTGAATGACCAGATGTAATTTTCACTCTATATTTACTCATCAGTAATCCTATCCATACAATTTGTTTTGTGACATTTTCTGACTGTAAAATTGATGTGAGATGTTAAGCATTTTTAGTTCTCAGTGGGTTACCATATAAAAGAGTGTATTGTATTGCATTGATTCAGGAAACTGCAGAGTATTTTTCTATCTGCAGTGCATGTTGGGCTACATGAATCGAGATTTATTGTTACTAGTTTGGTATGGCATGGTAGAGTTTTTTGTTTTGTTTTAACTCAGAACTCTTCACAGCCATGTAATTAGGTAGTTTATGCAGCAGAGAGTTGTTGCAGTTGATCACAGGGGAGTAGAGATTGTTCATTATGAATTGTTTTTATTCAGGCCTTTAGATCAGTTTTTTTATGTATGTATTATTATAGTTGAAAAGGACTTACCACACCCACTATGCAGTGTTTGAAGCCATTTGTAGACCTAAATCCTCTTTTTCCTTGACTTTGTTTCTCAGACCACCAATTCTCCCTAGTCCTTCTCCTTCAAAATCCATTCCAATCCCACAGCCCCTCCGACCAGCAGATGAAGACCATCGGAATCAGTTTGGGCAACGCGACCGATCCTCTTCAGCTCCCAACGTCCACATCAATACCATTGAACCAGTCAATATTGATGTAAGTATTAATAACAATTAGATCAAGAGTAGTAGATTTGATGGGTTCATTTTGAATATCAGTGCATTAAGTTTATCATGTGCACACAAGTGTGTTTCTAAGCTAATCCTCAGTGGTCTATCAGAGTCTTCAAGGATCATTCATTTTTCATTTTTTTCATAGATTCATTTTTCCTGTTGAGAGCTGTAAGAATACACATAACCTATTCTCCAAAAGGAGAACTGCCTTTTGACAGTTCTGTCCTTTTCATTTTCATAGAAACATTTTGCCCCAAACAACTGCTTTTTTTTTTTTCCGTCATTAGTCCCAAGGCTTGTGCTCTTAGCTGTAGCCAGTAATGCTCTTAATGGGTGTTAAACACATTTTTATGCAAGATGGAGATATTTAGTATTTGTATTCCAAGTAACATTTCTGGCAATGAAGAAAATTGAATTATTAAATTAAGCTGAGTTCAGATATACTGATAGTACCCTAGGATTTCAAGAGCCCAGTATATGTTGTTCTGAGCGTTCCTTCAGTGTTCAGGAACAGCTACACTTAACCTGTTTTCCACGCTTTTGAAATCTCTGAGTGGTGAAATATAACTAATAACAGTGGTTAATATTAGTATAATGACAGTTAATACCTTTCAAAACGTTCGTCACAACAACCACTTTCTAATTTTGCTAAAATATGCAGCTTGTATTTTACCCTTAAGTCTTCTCTCTAGAAATTATTCATTTGTCAGCTGAGTAGTCTTGAAGTCTGCTTGGACACTGAGGCACAAAATCTGTTTTGCATGTGAGCTGATGGAAAGGTGAAGTGTTAGTTTTGAGACTGTGTCTGTGTAGACATTTACATATGGAATATGGCACTGGTGCAGCTGAGGCATAGCCAGCGCCTTCAGCAGCAGCGTAGGTGTATAAGGGAACAAATATAATTGTGTAACAAAAAAGGGAACAAAGATAATTGTGTAACAAAAGAAAAAAAAGCTCTGTGATGAAAAATGTCGGAATACAGATGGAAACAGAATTTTCCACTTCTCTTCTGTTTAGAAAATCCTTCGTGTAGTTTGCTTTTAGTTGCAAAAGATCCTCTCGGTTCACAGTGTATTGCAAGCAAAGGAAACCTTTTGCAGGTAGTCATTTCTGAGAATAGCAGAGTGCACCTAGCTATGCAAATCAGGTGTGTTGTTACAAGAAAAAAACAGAGCAGGACTCATCTGACTGATGTACCTCAGTACAGGAAATTGATGTCCCAGCTTCTAATATGACACTTCAAATCATTTGTGCCACAGACAGGGTAACTAGAACATTTGGTTCGATATTTCTTCATACGTTTTGGCCAGCTGCATTTTTAAATCAGTATTTTCATGTCAGCATCTATTTTGGGTAGTGTACATTTCGCTCTACTACTGAGAGATGCTACTTTAAAGCAACTGATTTTGAGAAGTTTAGTAGTTGTTATAAGTAAGTTTTTTGGAGTCGCTCCTAGTCAGGATAGGAAACCACTTCTATTTCATGGGCAACACATGACATTATGGATTCTCAAATTGATCAATATCAATTGTTTCCAGAACCTAAATCTTAATACCTAAATTAAATACAGATTTTTTTTTTTAATTTTTTATAGGAATTGATTAGAGACCAGGGTTTACGAGGCGAGGGAGGTAAGTAGTGTTTAAACTAACTACTGCGTTACACTTAATTGCACAGCTGCTCTGTCCCTTCCCGTTACCCTACTTCCTTCTACAGAACACAGGCACAAAGGAAAATATGACTAGAACAAAAAGTGAATTACATTTGCTTGTCCATGAACTTAGTATTTGTCTCACAAAGATTTGAGTCATTTGCTGGTCATTCTGGGAGCGGGGGAGATGGAAGGAGAAAACAATTTGAAACAGAATCTAGTTCTTTTTAGCTTTAAAATTAATTTGCATCGTCACTTCTTTGCTCTCTCTCACACACACACCCACACGCACACATTCACTCACATGGCTGCACACAGATACACTATAACTTCCCAAGTCTCTCTCAAAGATTTTTACACCTGTTCTTACCTTTTCACCCATGGAAACAACAGGGGTTTTTATTGAAAAGCACCAACACGGTAGATGGACCTTCCATATGAACTTCTGCATCCTAAAGCAGTGAAATACTCCAGTTCTTCTCCCCCTCTGCCCCGCTGAAGTTGCTGCTTTGCTGTACTGCATGCCTGTGCTACTCTTGGAAGCAGGTTGCCAGGACCTTTCACTAAAGCCAGATTTTTTTATGTTTCCTTCAGTAAAATACGGCCTTAATTCGCAGTTCAGTCAAACATAGTACCAGAAAGTTTATTTTTCTTCACATGTTGAGCACAGGTCTGTTAAGTCATGTCTCCCACTGACCTTTGAAGTCCTGAGAGGGCTTCGTATGTGCTGTATTATATTCATAGGAATATAATAATTAAATAGAAATATTGGAAATAGAGAAGTAGTAAGTAGGGCAAGCATATGACAGTCTCCTTCTAATTACAGCTTGCTTCAGCCATAAGTTAGGTCTGAATTACCTTAGTGCACTCATTCCTGACCTCTAAGATTTAGTTCTGTGGGCTGTCACTGATTTTCTTTGTCCCATGCAAATCTGGTATTTGGTAGAATGCTACCTGCCTACTGCATTGTGTTTGATGGAGCTGTCTTTAATTATGTTCTATTAACACTTTTGAAAAAGAAAATTTCCTTTAAACTATTAACTCTAGCTTTAAACTTTAAGCTCTAGCTATTTTTGTATGTGTTGATAGGTGTGGCTCTCCACAGTTTTGCCCATTTTGTCCAGCATTTAAATGTTGTGCGATCATGTTGGTTTAACTTTTGGTCATAAACTGTCTGTTTGGCATCTGAAAACAATTGGCTATTCCCACTCCTGAAACAGTGTTATTAGTAATTGACTTTTTTTTTTCCTTCAAAGTTCAGAAGCGATCTATGAATAGGAGTCAAAGCATCCTAGTTATTTCCCATGACTTCTTTCATTTCTTCTATGTGTCTGTCTTTCTGTCTCTGCCTGCCCGTCTCTTTCTCTCTAACAGCCCCTTTGAACCAGCTGATGCGCTGTCTTCGGAAATACCAATCCCGGACTCCCAGTCCCCTCCTTCATTCTGTCCCCAGTGAAATAGTGTTTGATTTTGAGCCTGGCCCAGTGTTCAGAGGTAGTTGGGCTCTTCTTTCTTGTTTTCACCCAAACAAAATAAGTAAAACCACAGATGCTGTTTGTGCCTCACCCTCACACCGTGTGTATGTAAGTGTGTGAGTTTATCAAAACACCTCTGTTTTTTGCTTGGCCTGGCTGGAATGCTTTGAATGTGCTTTTCACACATACTCACTTTCACCTTTACACGCTTGAAAATGACTATAAATAAAGTCTGACTTAAATCTTCAAAAGCAAGGAATTTCATAGTTGAGGTTTTTCTGTGGACCTTAGCATAATTTTTCTAACCAAAGGTCCTTGGATTGCCTTGCAGTGATTTTAAAGATAAAATTATGTCCTTAACTTAGAATTTCCTTGACTGTTCAGTTTAAGTCAGTTCAGTGCTGTAACAGTTTTCTGTATTTAATATTTTTGTTTTGAGAAGTGATCTAGGAAATCAAATGTGAATTGCAAACATTTCCATTGATATCTTGTTAGGTCACAAGCTTTTCAAGTAATGTGTTTTGTCAACTTTGAACAAATACTTTGTTTTGAGAATGTGCTGTTGACATCACATTGGGGTCCTAGATGGTTTAGACCATGTAGTTTTTATTTAGTGAGTAGATTTCCACTGAAACAGTATTTGTGTCCTGTACTGTGTAAAATAAGACAGATTTTCATGTCATTGACCCTGGGGGTAATTCAGGCCTTAAGCTGTCAATGGATCTGTTGTATTGCACAAAATCCCCCAAAAATTCGGTGGGATTTTATATGCTGGAGAAACCAACTACTGAGTAACAGCATGAAACATAAATTCTTGTGTTTATATGTATACGTGTAGAAATGGTCAGCTCAGTGCATGTAGTGTGGTTTTCAAATGCTACCATCTTGGCTGTTTCAAAGACTTTTGTTTCAGAATGTATCAAGAGCAGTTCACCTTATGAACTTGTAAAGTTCTTCCAGAAGTCTTTGTAAGAAGACAGGTGTTCCCAACAGCAAACTGGCTACAGAATGGAATACGTTACGTACAGCTTCAGAGTCCAAGCTGTTAAGTCCAACATTATCTGAAGTATTCTACTCTAATAACTTGGAAAACAGGCCATCTGGTATTATTATGAACAGATTAACTACAATGTTCTACCATGTGCTGTAAGCATTTTTGGTGAAGGGTGAATATTGTGCTAGTGTTTCTATATTGTGGTATTAAAATCAAGTAGAAGACTTGAGTTACGTCGAAAGAAAATGCATTCTAGTAGAGCTTTGCTATTGCAGAGAAAGTCTGTAACCCAGTAAACTTTTGGAAAGTTGCTCATGTTCTGGAAACATGAACATACACTTAATTCCATGTATGTGTGATGAATTACATAATAAATTTATGTCAGTCTAGTGGCTGTAACATAAACACAAGTCCTTCCTTCAGGTCTTGTGAGGATGGACTTCCAGCTGATTATAGTTGTAGTTAGGATGCCTAATATGCATCATTATTGTTGCTTTATCATGTGGGACAGAGTTTTACAGATGCTGAATCCCATTTTTAATGTCTCTGTATGTCATTATTTTGTGCTTGCACTTCTAAATTTATAAATTTTAGCTCAGTGAGGACAGTGGTGGATATGCTTAGTCTGATAAATTAGCGTGCACTGAATGGCTGAACTTGAGCAACAGTTTTAAAAACCACAAAGTCAGTTTTTTAACTCAAGTTGGTATTAGGAGGCACTTCTTGGTTAAGAAGGGGGTTGCTGAAAGAATATGAGGAGGAGTATTGCCTTCCACCGCTTTCCAGAGCACTAATGTGAGAGAAAGCATTGTAATGTTAGAGGTCTTGTACAATGACATACATTGTTTAGCAGAGCAGCATGAATTTAATTAACAGTTGACCCTATTTCATGTCCTTTGCATTGGAAGGGTCAGCATAACCTTGTTACGAATAATTGTGGTGTATTTTAAAAAGCAATGTCTAGTTAAGTGCTCCATTTGTAAAGGGCCATTGGGACTCTGAAACAGCTCTCTTAGTGACATTTTCCTGCACAGATTTGTTTAGATAACATACAGGCTACAGATATACTGTTCTTTTTGTGTTTCATAGAATATGCTTCAAATAGCTAACTAAAGTACTTGTTCTTTTTTAATCCTTTCTACAGTCTAATATTTATTTTTAAATAAGAGCTCTCTGCTAACAGATAGCTTTAAAACAGCCAAATGGTTTTCAGGTGGCACTTGGAGACTGAACTAGAAAACATTTCAATTATTTGCATTTAGTCTGTCTTGATTCCAAAATATAGTATTTCAGCTATTAGTTGGGTTTCTAAAAGCATAGCTACAAGAAATCTCTGAGGTAAATGCTGCTAACTAAAATGCTACTACTTTTCTGCTCAAAGAAACTGATGGAATTAAAAAAATACATTTTAAAATATTTTTTCTTACTTAAAAAGACATTGTCCTTCTGATAATTCATGAACAAGAGACTGGGGACTATCCATACAGGGATGTTTGCTATAGACTTATCTCTTCCTGAACTCTGAGACTTGAGGGCTAATCTAGTGTTAGGACAATATTCCTAGGATGTGTTTGTTCCCTCTCAACATTTGCATTGATGTTTGGAGATACTGCATCTTAAACACAGTTCTTGCACCTAATAATCAGTGCATTCTTGTAAACTGGATTCTTACAGATAAAATTATCCTGTTTCTGAAATTTAGGCTCAACCGCAGGTTTGTCTGCGACACCTCCCGCCTCTTTGCCTGGGTCGCTAACCAATGTGAAAGCGTTACAGAAATCACCAGGACCCCAGCGGGAAAGGAAATCATCCTCATCCTCAGAAGACAGAAATAGAATGGTAAGAAACAGATCAGCTATTTTCATTTTTAATGTGGGATATTTGTAGTATAGAAATACTACGAGGTCGTGGTCCTCTCACTTTTCTTTCATCCCAGCAATCTGAATTATTTTGAAGATGACTATGGTGATGATCAAGGTCTTTAAACTAGAAATAATGGAGTGGGAGAACCACTTAAAAACCACTTTGAACCAATAAGTAATTGTGGGACTGAAATATAAATCACCTCACTTTTACTCCCTTGCACCCAAATGTTTGGTGTGCTTCATATTGTAATACCAGTTTCCCTTCACATAACAGCTTGACTTTTCCCACCATGATTCATAAACTTTGAAAGTAACAAATGTATGTAACACGTTTTTATGTAACAGTGCATAAAAATATCTACATTTTTTGAATTCACAATTTAACATTATGATTGAATAAGAATTGAAAAGTAAATATTACTTTCTTTTTGGTAAGAGTTCCTTAATATTTTCTGGGTTTAACGCTGCCAGAAAGCTGTGGCAAATATTTAATGCCAGGAAATAATTTGGTATAGCTGTGTCCTGAGGTTTTGTGTATGGCTGATTGGAGAAGTCAAAAACAATACCTGAAAAAAAGGCTTTTTAGAACTTTAATGATATGAAATGCTGATGCCAAATCATTAACAAAGGAGCTGTTTTCACAGACATTAATGCACTTGTTTTTTTTCTACTCTTTATTGTTTTTGCATATATATATAAAGAAAACTCTTGGTCGACGAGATTCAAGTGACGATTGGGAGATACCAGATGGGCAGATCACAGTTGGACAAAGAATAGGATCTGGATCGTTTGGAACAGTCTACAAAGGAAAGTGGCATGGTATGTGACCATCATGGCAAAGAGTTGTTCTTCAGCAAGTCACACTGCCTGCCAGGGGTCACCCAGCTGGAACATAATTGGGAGAGTCACTGAAGGGCCATAAGTGTGATTTTTAATTATTAAGTAGTGTGATGACTTCATATTGTTTAGAGACTCAACTCTTGCTTGTAATTCTGAATTACGGGATTGTTAGAGTAAACACAAAACAGTTATTAGGTCAAAATATCCATCTTGATGAGTGAGGATTTCAAATGTGTATTTTAATAGCTTTGGCTTGGATAGGATTTCTCAGAGTAAAGTAGGAATAGTGTTTCTACGTTTTACTGAGTATTTACTTATTTAAATATTATAGTGATTTATTTCATGGAAGCTAGAAAACAGGGTACCTCAGTATTTCTGATGCTCTATATAGCATTTTCTCAATAGAGGAATATGTATCAGTCGCACTTACTAAAAATTGCTGTTTTAAAGGTGATGTGGCAGTGAAGATGTTGAATGTTACAGCACCCACACCTCAACAGTTACAGGCTTTCAAAAATGAAGTAGGAGTGCTCAGGTAAGATTATTTTTAATGGCATAAAATAACGTGTGTAAATTTGTGCCTCATTAATCACTGAATTTTAGATTTCATTAGAACACATTGGTCTTACTCCTCCGTGATGATACTTCAGGCAGAAAAAATAACTATTTCTTTGTATCCACTGCTAGTTCTTCCCTCCCCCGTATGTGTTTGTCTGCACACCTATGTTGTCAATATGTGTATGTGTAAACACTCCAGACAGAACTGGTTTTTGTTATTATACTGCCCCCAGAGCACAGTCAAGCCTAAGTGTGAGTTGTAGGCCTGCCTTTCCTCTCATTCACATTTTGAGATTGAAGGAGAGCACGCCAGTTGTTGGTTTTCAGCTGTAGCACTGCCCATATTGTCTGTTGTTTAATAGTTTCTGTTTAGTAGCATTAATTTTTCTTTGAGGTTTTTTTTAATTGTATTTCTCATAAAGTCACTCCTTGATTTCCTTTTCTCATGTATGCTGCTTGTAGTTTCTCAGAGGAGGTATTTGTTTTGAGTTCTGCTCTTAAAAGAGGATCCATTAACACGGTATGATAGAATATTTATTGGGAAAGAACGTGGCATCCAGGGACAATCTTGAGCATTGTCGAGCCTAATTGTGTTTTAAGAAATAAAATAACAAGAAAGTTTTGGCCTCTGGAAACCTGATGTGTTGAGCTGGGTGCCTGTGCTGCAGAAACATCCCCAGTAAGTTACAAGGTGACAAGGGGATGGTCAGCCTTTTTCCCAAGGAAAATGTTAGTTCCAAAAACTCTAAGCTCTTAGCTGTGGAAATAGAGACTTTCTGTGGTATGGTACTTTGGATATCTCTTCATTTTTTGGACATAATTTTGACAGAATTTTGTGAAATCAAAAATCTTGTATTTCATAGCTAGTCCAGATTTGTGCCAGCATTCCCATAGCTGGAGTCAAGCCTTTTTGGTTGTTGATAGTTTCAGCACTTATGTAGTCAGTTGTTCTATCCCTTGAGCCAGACAAGGCAGATTTACTTGTAGCTGTGCCTTTTCCATTATGCTGCATCATTTTTTGCAAGAATTTTTTGCCAAATTTGCAGGAAACTGCATATTTTTTGTTCCCTCAGGAGTTACTCTCAGCATCACTCAACAAATCCTCGAACCTGAAAAAGGCACAGTCACATGGCGTAGAACTGTCCTAGTCTGCATTGCTGTGAGGGCAAAGGTTCTCGCTCTGCACTCCCATGTTAGTGTTTTATTGTAAGAAAACATAAAAGGGGTCTGCCATCTTCCACCACAACATAGACTTAACAAGCTACCACAGGTTTTAAGCTTGGTCTGTCAGGTTTCACCAGCAGAGAGCTGACTGCCTTTGATAGCGTTGGAAGAAGACTGCCTTTATTTTTCCTCAGCCCCTGGGAAAGCTAGGAAATATTCCATAATTCCTAGGTGCCTCATCTTTGTAAAATCTCATTGGTATGTTTGGAGGTATGTGGTTCTTCCTGTCTGTTTGTTGGCAGTAAGAACATGATTGACTTGTCCTAGAGGGTGAGGAAAACATTTCAGATTTCACAGTGGATTCTTCCAGGCCTTGAATCTACTGCAGTATCTACCAAGATAATCCTTCCTGCATTTGTTCATTGGGAAGTTTTTCTGTATGGAGTTGCTCCGTTTTAGGAATAGGTTTGATTTAATCTGGTCAAATCTCTGTGATAAACTCCAGTTTCTCCCAAATGCTGTTTGGAAACAAGTTCACATCGTAACCTTGCTGAGGTACCTGTTTCCATCCTTTCTTGTATGCTGGCTTCATAGAGTACAAAGTCTTGTCAAAAAAAGCCCTAAATAAAACTGAAGACTTGTCGAGGAGGTGTGTTGATGGTATCCAAACAAAAAAGTTATCCTTCCTGGAAACCTTTGAGACTGGAACTTCATTTTGGATGTCTTCCTTATGGGCAGCAATATGTCGTAGCTGGGCTAAAGTCACACAAAAGCAGACCTGCCTGCAAACCATTTCTGTCTGTGGGGACCTAGCGGAAACAGTATCTTCTGAGCAGTCCTGTGCTAAGGTGCTTGCTTGGGGGAAGCAAGTGCTTACCCCAGAGCAGTTATTCCATGTTATTATGATCAGAAAGGCAAATGTCTGGAATAATTTATTAAAATGAATCTAGCAAGAGGTTACCGTGTTATCTTAGTAAAACTTGAGATTGACCCAACTTCTGTTTGGAAATATATATGTAAAATGTGATAGACCTGCCTGGCTTCTGCCTGATTTCCTATTCATTTTTATTTGTTTTTAAACAGGAAAACACGACATGTGAATATCCTGCTTTTCATGGGTTATTCAACAAAACCCCAGTTGGCTATTGTTACACAATGGTGTGAAGGGTCCAGCTTGTATCACCATCTACACATCATTGAGACCAAATTTGAAATGATCAAGCTAATTGATATTGCACGACAGACTGCACAAGGCATGGAGTAAGTATTGTATTACTTGTCTGAAAATTAGCTCTGGGGGCAATGTTTTCTTACCCCCTTCCCACTGTGGCTGGCATTGGCAAATAAGGCCAGTTATCTGCTCACTTTGCTGAGCCCAGGGTCCTGTCTTGATCATCAAAGCATTTGGTCGTGTTAATTATTCTGATGAGTAAAATAGACTTTGTGAGCATTTTTTGGAACATAACAAAATACAGTCTTAAATAGTAGAGTCTTTACAGACTTCACAATGCAGATAATCTTATGGTAGGAGGTAGAGCATAGTTTAAAAAGAAACACCCTGTGAGTGAAAGGACAGAATTCTGTAAGATATGTACAAGGCAGACAGCTCAGCCCTGTTAGCTAAAAGAATCAGGAGTTTTTTTCCTTTTCTGATAAGTATCATAGCTCTTTAAATAACAGATTTCAGTATTTGGAGAAAATATACCTATATTGTTCTAAGGATTGTAAATAATCTTTACTCACATAGAGGACCATTGAGTTAAAATTTACAAAACTAGCCCAATATTGTGTGTCAAAATCAGGGCACTGCTGTAAGATCAGAGAGATCACCCTCCAGCTGAAAAACCACTATGATAATTGCAGTTCATTGTACCGTTTTTCTACTAAGTATTCCATTACATTTTCAGTCAAGAGGTGGGGAGGTGTTTGCAGCAAGCAGCCTTAGCCTTCTGTTATCCTGCTCATCTCCCCAGGCCCCATCTGTAGGTAGTGGAGATGCAGAAGCTGTTTTATGAGCATGATTCAAAGCAGAGACATAAACTGGGACCTTTCCAGGAGTTTCGTGCCAATCTCATTGACTAAACAAAGAGCCATGGGAGACTAGTTGCCTAATTTAGGCTGAATCTGTGCTGTGCGGCAAGTACTCTCCTCTGTGTTCCCTGCCATCTCTTTATCCAGTCTGCAAAGGATCCATTTTTTTCCATTTCTGTAGTAAAAAGCAGTCAGCATACCTGAGTGCACACTGAGACTGGGAGGCACTCTTAGAAACACCTTACCTAAAGCTGTGAGTAGCCTGCAAAGGGTCTTGACAGTCACCATTAGGGCTGGGACATGGAACTTTCAGCACTGAATGTGAAAAAAACTACTGACGTTGGTTTTATTGTGAATATTGAGTTAGAGTTGAAAAGCAGAAGTTGGAGCATAATTATTATTTCATTCAGCAGCAGCGTCAGATTTGAGCTGGAAATCTAAGCTTTATTTTGCTTTTGGGGCTTTTTTTCTTGTGAATGTTGCAGGAACTGTCATGGGCAACTGAAGTTTTGCTACCTTGCAGTTTGAATATCTGCAGAATTTGTGTTTCAGTAATACAGTGAATCTTGAGTTGCTGATTTGTGAAATATTATTTAACCCACCTAATCTATGATATTCCTTTTCAGTTATTTGCATGCCAAGTCAATCATCCACAGAGACCTCAAGAGTAATAGTATCCTTTCCCAGAGATGTAATTCTGGAATGTGACAACATTCCTGGTTCCTTTTTTTTTCCTACCAAAGATTAACTTAATGACTTGAAAAGCTGTTCATGTATGAATATTTGCCAAGTAGAAATTTCACTGAGTAATAGGGGTATTATTAATAATGAAAAGGGTAATATCAGTAACAGCAAAATAAGGGATGCCTATGGTGTCTGTTGATTTCATGGCAATAACATAGGAGGTTTTGGGGGTTTTTTGCATCCTTTGGTTTCTTCTACATGTAATGAAATATTGTGCCAGTTCACTCATTAAATATTTTCAGCTTTTCTCACACTTGGCATTTCAAGAAAGTACTTGGCACTTCAAGAAAGCCACCTGGCCATGGTCTGTTCAGCACTGGCCCAGTCATTACTTATGTAACCCTTCAGTAGCATAATTCCTTATGCTGGCTGCTTAGAATCTGTTACACAAACACCTTCTCCAGTGGTGGTCAGTGGTAAAAACTGTCATGTTTATGTTGCAAATTTGTAACTGATTTTTGTTTGTGTAGGAAGGACAGGACCAGCACTGCTTGTCTGTTTTCCCTTAACATTCCCCCCTTAGATATTTTTCTTCATGAAGACCTCACAGTGAAAATAGGTGATTTTGGTCTAGCTACAGTGAAATCACGATGGAGTGGATCCCAACAGTTTGAACAGTTGTCTGGATCTATTCTATGGATGGTATGTAAAGAGGAGGTGGTGAGTTTATTTCAACAAATTTATTTGCCTTTGGCCAAAGTTTCTACAACTATCCCTCCAGCACACTGATGTACACAAGCTGTCTTAAACTGGAAAAGACAAGGAGTAGTACGAAGTACTAAATGAACGCTTTTCAATTGTACTTTAAGCATATGTTTTCCAGTAGTCAGCAAAAAAAACTTTAGTGTCTTTGTACTTTATTCTGAGGTTTAAACTGAAAAGAAAATGGTGGCTAAGGAAAAAGAGTGTAATTAATCCAGTGTTGAGGAGAAGGTGAAAAAAGCCATGCAAAACATACTGCAAAGGAGTAGAGGAACTAGCTCAGCCAAAAGCAAGATGCTCTTAAGTCTTAAGGATTCGAGCATGGTTATTCCATACTACAGGCTCCTGTACAACTCCACTTTCTCCTTTTCTCCCTGGAAAAACCTAAAGCTCTGTAAGGTGGCATTATTTTCAGTGTTGTTATATTCCTAGTTTCCAAATGTCTTCTGAGCCTGGACAAGGTCATTTTGTTCTGTCATAGAGGAATAAAGAGATCACCAAGCTAAAATGAAGCAATAGGTTTTGAGATTCATGTCAGCATCCACTCTGTATTAGCACCCAGAAACCTGTGAAGGCAAGAGTGAGCTTTGCACGTGTGCTCTGGACAAGTCCATGTTTTGTTCCTGATATGTGAGGTGCAGTGTGATGGAAGGAAATGAAAACTAATTCTTCCCTTTTATGATACAGGCACCAGAAGTTATTAGGATGCAAGATAAAAACCCATATAGCTTTCAGTCGGATGTGTATGCATTTGGGATTGTTCTTTATGAATTGATGACTGGACAGTTACCATACTCGAACATCAACAACAGGGACCAGGTAAGGGGAGGGATTGACTTCAGTCAGCTGTAGCCTGAAACAGATCGGTTCAGCCTTGGGTAGTGCACTTCCTGATGTGTTGTGTGATTGATATTTCCAATTCTGATGTTGTGAGACATTTCTGTCTCAGCCACGTAGCACCAATTTACTTCTCTTGAGGTAATTTTTGTGTTCTTTTTTACTTTAAGTATAGATTCTCAGCTTCTGAACTGGTTGCCAGGATACTTATTAGGGAAAGAGCAGGTTACTTAATAGTAACCTAGAATAGTTCTGCAAAGGCGAAATGATCCTCTATGTATGTATTCCGTTATTCCTCTTTATTTCCTCCCCACCTCACACCTCCACTTGCTGCATGGAATAATAGTGCAGCTACAAGACAAACCAGAACAACAGTCATCTCGCTGAATGTTTTATATTCATTTGGATCTTGAGAAATGCATGCACCATCTAACTGAATTTCAGGAGATCAGCGTTTCTCAAACCCTGCTTGATGGAGTATATGACTTTCCAGAGTGCGTGAATCCTTAAGTCTTAATGATACCACACGCCTGTAATGTATCTCCGTGGGATAGGTGCTTTGGGAAGGCATACCTGGTTCATTATTTCTGTCTAATCTGAAAATAGTATCTGTCATCAAGGTCTTTGGTGTAAACTACTCTGTGTCTAAGCAGTGATGTATTTATGTTGCTTCTGTGTCTTCATCTCTTGTTTTTTCACTGTCAGTACTTGAGAACTGCAACCATAGCAACGTTCATCTGTGAATGCCATTTTATAAGGCTGCTTCCATATCTGCCAGAACACATCATCCCAATTCATCAAATTTGGAGTGACTCCTTCTTGTTAATTTTCTTTTTTATAATTTTGTTTTTGCCTTTTGAAAGAAGGGAGATGTCTGGATTCCTGGCCAGATGGATTCAGCTTTCTAAAAACAGTATTTGACATTGTCTTGTCTTTACCTTTTAAGATTTGAAAGATGAACCCAGTGATATAGGTGCTTACATTTAAGTGCTGAAACAAATTTTAAAATGCAGGTGAAACCACCATATACGATGTGATCTAGTGTCCTGAGTTTTGCCACTCCTTGTCTGTTACATCCAAAGTTGCAAATATTCAGCTACTATGACCCAACTAAGATTCTTAGTGAGCAAAGCATCATTCTTGTTACACCCCAGAGTTTCTCTCACCTTGACAGATTTTTCTAGACTGTTCTTGTAGTGATAAGCTCTTTTCTCTAGTTCAAAGTAAAAGCTTAATCCCTGTGTTATTTGTAGAGAGAGTACTTGAAACATAAATAATGAATTTTGAATGATTTCAGCTTGTGCAATTATTTAGAAAATATTACCACAGATCATGGTAAGTCTCATTGCAGCAGAGGTAAGGGACAGGGTACAGAAGTCTCTACTATGAAATGCTGCTCTGGCACGTGGGGATTTCTAAAGAAACCATATGGGAGTTTTATATTCCTCCTTGATGCCAGCACAGATGTGAGTGAAGGAGAAAGCTGAAAAGGGACCAGGATTGTGTTAGTATAAATAACACCTATGGCATGCTTGAGATGTGAGGGGTTTCTGATGTTTTTTTTTCCCCAGTGTCAAGATACGAAATAGTTACACTTCATTAGGTAGAAGATATGACACACCTGCTGGGTCTGCCTGAGTGTTCAGCAGTGATTACCTGCTGCAGCATGAATGGATCTTTGATTAGCTAGTTTGGAAGGGCTTTTTAGTGTTAGTGCAACTGCTGTACTCAAACCACATTGCATTTGACTTTGGCTTGACATGATACATTTGATGGAGTTTTCTTATATATACAAGACACCATTAACCATATTTATGTTTTGTTTTCCTGCTTCCTCTCAGTTTACTTTGGTTTATCCTTAAGTTTTATCCTTAGGCAAAATATAAACCTTCCATGTTCAAATGTAAAAATATAAAACCTGTCTGTCTCCTCTTTTACAGAGGAGAGACAGTTTCTCTTCTTCTTTTGTGATTTTCTTGGGGGTAGAGAAGGTGATCAGATGTCAAGAATAAGCTTTTGTGTTGGAAAAGTATATGACAGAATTTATTCTTAAAAGCTAAAGGGTTTTAATATCCAAAGTCCATGTATTTCTTAAAATACCTTTCTGAGTGAACTTGCTGTTGACTTATAAAACAGAATATTTCCTTTTACAGAATATTTATTTTTAGACATTCTGTTCCTGCCAAATTTGCTTATTCTTGTTTTTGTCACAATTTTTGACACTAAAGAACCATTCCTTGGATGGTTATTGCTATAAATGGTAACCATTTACTAGTGTTCAGGTTTCACAGAAATCTCTCCAAGGAGAAGGAGGAGGAGGAAAGATCTAATTTTTTCTCTGTACTGAATAGGTTAGCAAGCATTGCTTTAAGAAATCTGGCATTTTCAATACCAGATAATGTTTCCTGGGAGCAGAAAACTTTCTGCTGGAACTAAAATGTTCTTGCAAAGTGTTCACCTTTTTTTACTGTTTGTTTTATGGACTCATCTTCCCCTTTCATCTTTTTTCCCCTTTAATAAAGATAATTTTTATGGTGGGACGAGGATATCTATCTCCAGACCTCAGCAAAGTACGGAGCAACTGTCCAAAAGCTATGAAGAGACTAATGGCAGAATGCTTAAAAAAGAAGAGAGATGAGAGACCCCTTTTTCCACAGGTGAGAAATGCTCCTCTTTATCTCTCAATAGACTTTAGAATTCAAAATTACGAACTCACTGGCCAGTTCCAGATTTTTTTGATGAGTGTTACAGCATGACTTCATAAGAGCATTGGCTCAGTACCTGGTTAGTGCTGTTTAATGAGAAATGCTTATTTTAATTTCAAAACACAGGTATTAAAATGACCTGTGTATTTGCAAAAGCATTTATATGTTGGAGAAAGTTTCAACTAGGAGATAGTGAAATTGATAATTATAGTTAGACACACAAAGTGGAACTTGGTATATGTGCTCAAAAATCTTTATAACCCCCTTCTTGCTCTCCCCCGAGCTTTGTGAAGGGAAACTGATAGTTTGGCCACAAAACTAGATTTTTGTCATGCCTGCTGAGGACAGTTTGGGTTCTAAAAGCTTGGGGGAGAGGGGGTGGGAATCTGATTTTTTCTGGTTTGAATGTAACCAAATAATTTTCAAAAAATAAGGAGCTCCCCCTGCTGACTTTTCAGTAAATGGTATTAAGCAAACTACTGCCAGAGCTGGGTTTGTTTGCAGCGATGGCAGGTACAGGTACTAGGGCTTGGACAAGGAGCCAAATAAAAAGCAACTGTATACGCTGTGCTCACGGAAGGAAATTAGTATGCTTTTATCAAGGGGGAAATTCCCAAACTGTCCTTTCCAACTTTTTCAGGATACAAACATCAAGTATGCAATGCAGTAACCAATATTTTAAAAGTTCTCTTTTATTTTGAGTTTAAGTATTTTTCTGTAGTTAATTGATGTTGTGCCTTTGGTTTTAAGAGAGAGTTGCAGTTTTGGAACAACAGGTTTGATTGTTTACTTTCTACCTGTTTTAGATTCTTGCCTCCATTGAGCTTCTGGCCCGGTCATTGCCAAAAATTCACCGCAGTGCATCTGAGCCCTCATTAAACCGGGCTGGCTTCCAGACAGAGGATTTTAGTCTATATGCTTGTGCTTCTCCAAAAACACCCATCCAAGCAGGGGGATACGGTGGGTTTCCAGTGCACTGAAAAGAAATGTGAAAGCATGTGCCTGTGTGTCTGTGTGCTGCGGTGTTCCTGGGAGTGCAGCTCGGGTACCAGCTGTGGTTTTAAGGTTTACTGAGGGAACGAAGACTCACTTGCCAGCACCGGGCATTGAATGTCCCAAACACGAAGTCTGTGTTGGTAACGAGTGCCCTGGGAACAGCTGGCACGAGAGGAATTGTAACGTCATGTAAGAGACATGGGAAGTCACTTCAAAACAAGCAAAAATCTTCTTGAGGTCATGGGGTGTTGTTTCTGCCTAGTATATTGATTGGAATTAGTTACTCAGGAGTGTATTTGATTTTGATTACACGAGCTATGGTGGTGTGTTGTTTTGGTTTTAGTTTTTTTTACTTCAGTTGAGGTCATTATATTTGAGCAATAAGTTTTAGATTCTTCGGTTAATGATGCTGTTCATATGTGGGAAACAACTGGAAAAATAAACTGAGCTTCAAGGCTGAACACAGTCAAAACTTCTTGTGGTCAGCAGAAGTGAGCAGATACAACACAGAATCCAAAGAAAACCCTGAATTAGATGTGGCTCTTATTTTGAAAGTTGAAGTTTAAAATAGTCCTGTTTAGAGAACATCTCTTCCTGCAGAATAGTGACAAGAGTTATTTTTTACTTTTTTTTTCCCCTAAATACTCTGACCTGCTATAGTTTAGACCATCTCAAAATGTTCTATTACAATGCAACACAGAAGAAATTCTGAATCTGCTTTTGCCAAAGTGCAAGACTATTACTAGTAATGGTGGCTGTATGCTTCAATTAGCATGGATTTCAAAATTTAAAAAAAAAAAAAACAGAAACAAACATTTTAAATGTTAAGCATGAGCAAATACTTTGAAGAAAATGCTGCTTAACACCCATAATAGGAAGGTTTGAAAAAGCAGTTGTTTTCATGGAAATCAGTGTTATACCATGAATTCTGTTAAGATGAAAGGTTTTAATTATTTTAATATTGTTAAGAATACCACTGAACATGACAAATTGATTTTTTCACTTCCATATAGAAGCTGCTAGTTTGACTAGAAGTGAGTCAGCTAGACTAGGTATCTAACAGAGGAAGCTAGACACCTTACTAAAATCCTGCCAGCTCACTTTGGAGATTTTATTTTTCTCTGGAGCAGGTGAATCAGAGCAGTGGTTCAGGTTGGATCAGTCTTTGATGTCAGATATGAAAACAAGATGTATTGACACTGTTCTTGTGTATTTTTGGATGAGTTACATGGTTTTACTTGGTCTAAAGAGCTAAGCTGTTAATTTTCACAGATTCTTGCATTGGAATAATTTGATTTACATACTTACGGAGAAGTTGCTACCAAAAGTTTTTGAAATAGATCAGGAATTCCAAAAAGTTTGTCTTTCTGATGTCTGACAACTGAGCCTTTTAAAATGGGAAGCAGATGTAGAGAACTGGAAGAGATGTAGGCAGTTTCTACATTTTATGACTGGATTCTAGTAGGCTTTTTGGCTTCTGCTGTTGGAACAATTTTTCTCATTTTCTTAGTCAAGAAAATTTAACTGTTGAAATCTCCCTCTATGGAAATAGTTATATAGGATGAAAATTATTACTTTTTTAGAAAATCTGTTTCCCATCTTTCTGGTGGCTTTACCTCATTTTGGCAGGCTTATCTTTAAATTCAAACAGGACTTAAGTGTTTTCCTCTCTCATTCTTTATTTTATATATTTATTCTAGACAGTGAGGAGGAATGCTTCCTAAGGTTTGGGGTATTCAGTACAGGCTACAATGCCCATCTCATAGCAAGAGGATGCTACTGTATCTCCTGCAGAGTCTAGAAATGTGCCATTCCACACAGAAAAGTCTTAACTACACAAGGAGTTGCAGAGAGTGCAGAACCATCATCACTGCCCTGCCCAGGCTTACTCTTTTTCAGATCTGCCAGATCAGTTCAAAGAAGTTACTCCTTGGAGTAGTGTTATCCTCCTTGTTGTTAAGATTGTTTGTCTGTGCTCTAGGAACTACAGTTATGGGGGAAAAATGCTGCCAACCTTAGACACACTTGACCATATTTCCTTCTGTGTGACGAGAGCATTCTTCCTGTGTCACCTGTTCTTACACAGTGAGAACCATTTGAACTCCATGGCCATAATGTGATTTTAGCTTTTCATTTTTTATGAAGCCTAAAAGGAGGCTGGGTTTTATGGCATATTAACTTTATCTGACATAAAGGCATTTAGAGTTTTAACTTCTGTAATTTGTAATTGTTGCTTCAGTGAGATTTGGGAACATCTGTAAGATGAAGATAACTAACTACACCTATGGATTTGGGTCAGAGTTCTCAAAGGTGAGACTCAGCTATTGGTCCAGAAAACAGGTCTGTAAGAGCTCAGGTTTTTCTGCAGGAGTAGTTTATAGTAGGTGAGATTCCTTTTCTCTTTACTTTCATACATCTCAGTATAGAAAAAAAATCTGTCTTGGTACCTTCTAGAAGATGCTCCAGATTTTTATTTAACTCCGTGGATGGTATCTGTACAAAAGATCAGCAAAAAATCCAACAGAAAACTACCTCTCTGTCCTACTTTTTCTGTGTCTGTGAATGTAACACAGGCAAGGTGTTGGAATCTGGTGTTCCTCTTCGATAAGTCAGTTACTCTCTACTTCCAGGCACAAGCTTGGAAGGGAACCATTATTCTCCTTACAATTCTCCTGAGAAACATGGCATCTACCCCAGCATAAGGAGGACAGTTATAGTGTTGTGTGTATATACCTTAGTAACCTCGTGAATCCAGATAACTTAGAAATTTGTGAGAGCAGAGAATGGTAGCTGCATCTTGAATCCCTCCAGGAATCAGTGGCAGCAGGTTCACTCAAAACATGCCCTTGATTAGAGGCAACATTCTTGGCCTGCTAGGAAACGATGAATTCACATTTCATGTTACTTCATTTATCTGTCTACATCTTAGCCTCAGGAAGAGTTTGCCTGGGTTCTCTCCCCCTTCTTCAGGTGGGGTTTCTTCTGGAAGCTAAAAGAACCAGCTACAGATATTTTACGTCTTCAGAATAGAAAGGGTGATGTAGAGGACTTCAGCTACTCCTCAGAAAGTCCTATTGACACCTAGATGAAGGATTCCTTTACATGGATAGGTATAGACATTTACATTCCTCATCTAGGGAAAGCTGTTACTGGCATCCGCATTTTATACATGTTCAATCAACATAATCCTGTTATTAGATGAACATGTTACTTTTTTTGGCCTCCTATTGATTGGAGATCAGATTAACACCAGAATTTTGAAAGGCAAGATTTAGCATTAGCTTGTCAAAGAAAATGTGTTTGCTAAGGTTTTATTTAAAAGATAGGAAAGTCTGAAAACTACCTTTTTAAAGGTACCATACTGTCTGAAATACTTCTTGACTTCTGATCCCATTTTTCCATTGCCCTTTTCCAATTAAAGGTTCATCTTTTATCTTCTGAAATCCCTATATGACTATTAAAATCTGAATTATAGCTGGAAATGGGCAGAAGGACAAGATGAGTAATGAGGGAGCCATCTCTTGTTTCTAAATTGATCTTTAAGCAGCAATTTAGAAAGGCAGAATGAAAAATAAATTAAGTAGAGCATGTTTTGAAGGTGTAGCTAGGCATGAATGTCATTCTTAAAAATGGGCCTCCCAGGCAATACTTGATGACTTTTTTGTCCTCTTAAAAGAAAAAATATACAAAACTTGAGATGTTTGTAGAAGATACTGTGAAGAGAGTTGGGAGATCAGTGAAATGTAGCAGAAAGCAGCAAGAAAAACACTTAGAGCAAGAGTTTTATCTGTTGGTGGAACTTGTAAAATAGGCAATTAGATCCATCGTGAAGCTTTTATTCCTTTGTTGTTGTAACTTAAACCTTCCACCACAGTCTGTAAAGACACATAGAGGTTCAAGTCTTTCACTGCCTCCTGTGCCAGCCCCTTTACTTTAGACCTTGGGTGTACTCCCTTCTCATTTCTTAGGACACGCAGAGAACTCTCCCTGCTTTCTTCAAGTTCCCGTAGAACTGGATCAGCTGCTCCTCCCAGGCCTTTTAGATGCCTTTTCTTCCCCCTCCTCATGCAGGCTGCTGATGACTCTTGTTGTTCTCTTCCTTGCTTTATAGAGCAAGACATTCCATGATAAGCCTAAAATTTTGTTTGCGGGGATGTTTGTGTTTTGTTTCCCATATTCAGAATAAGAATCTTAAGACAAAACAAAGCCGACAATACAGTCACTCTCGAAAAGATAGGAGGACACCAAGATAGGGAGCAGTTGTTTGGATGTAGTGCCATTCAACACACCTCTGTTGAACAGAACAAAGGGTCTCTTATGCTTGCATATCACTCCATTGTTAGAAAAGCTCTGAGAAGTGCTGTCAAGAAAGTGGCATAAACTAACCTAAAATTCATAAAGAACCCAACACAGGGAAGTTACATGTCTGCTCCTTTTTCTCTTCCTCCTGAGTCCTTTTGATTATGCATAGTTGGACGCCCCTCACTAAAAATCCTATAGAATACAATTTCTTTGTGAGTGGCAGGAAATTCTTTTTGCTAAATTATAAGATTGAGAGGACTAGTGTTAGATACAGCTTCTATTCAATCTTCTGGGAAACTCCTTAAAGACTTTGGGCAGGGATTTTACTCTGTGCCGTAGTTCCTTTCAGAAATGGGACTACCAGTCTATCTCACAGTATGGTGACACTGAACAAATTATGTAGAATTTCAGGAGGTCATCACATGTGAAAGCACTGCATGTAATTATTTTTTATTCAGTAATTCTGAAGGAAGCACATAGTTGCTTTATTTGTTGCGCTCCCTGTTAGTGAGGCCTAATTGCTGGTCTGGGATTGAGTAGATAATCTCCCCATTCTCCCCATTCTTATTTTTCTCTCAGTAGGTTGCTATGTTGGTCTCTAAACCAGATCATAGCATTTTTCAATACTGGTTTTATATTCAGGTACTTTACTGTATATAGTCTTTAAATAGGTTAATGGGTGTGTCAAATAGTTCTTTGTTATTAAACCAGTTTTACACCAGAATAGAAACTAGTTTGCAGTCAGATGCATTTATTGAAATTGTTACTTCTCAGGAAGATATATGTGCAATAAGGAGTTTAAAGTAAAATCAAGCTGACACATTTTGTTTTCAAATGCATGATGATTTAGACTTTGCTTGAACTCTCAGTTCTTGGGAAGAATGGGTACAGCTTGCTTTCAAGAAATTCTATGTTGGTTAAATATGCTGGGTCTGTATTCAATGTTCTCTCACTATGTATTCTCTTGTGCTTTAATTTTAACAGTTTGCATTTTTTAACATCTTTTATATTCAACCTGATGTTCAGCTAGTCTAGAGAAAATCTCTTGACTGCCTAGTAACTGAAATCACCTTTTTAAACCAAGCTCTTGTCCTCCCTCTACAGGAGAATTTGCAGCGTTCAAGTAGCCACAGCACCATGGCAGCACCCACTCTGTTATTTAAGTCTTGTGTTCCTACAGTTTCTTAACATCAAAACTCCATTCTGCTCCGCAAAGCCCAAAATAATTTAGAAAAGATATCCATAAGCTTTTAAAAGTGGAGCAGAATGGAACTGCCAGTCCAACACAATGGGAAAAAGTACCTTTTTGGGAACCAGAGTCCTCTGCTGCCAGTGTTTCTCCTTCAACACAAACCACCACGTGCATTCGGAGACCCGCAGTGGCTGCCTGTGCCGTTGGCATCATTCCCAGGAGAGAGGAGAGGGCGCTCGTGGTTTGACTGTGGTGCTCGGGCATGAGGGGATGGAACTGCTGCTGCAACTTAGGAGACTTGCTTTGGATGGTCTGCCGGTCGGCTTTCTCCCTCTAACAGTGTAACCATCAGAGGCTGAAAATCTGTTGAGTGCTAATTTAAAAGAACCATTCTCCATTCTGATCCTTTTTTTTCCTGGTGTACTTACTGATTTATGGACAATGCAGTATCCCCTTTTCACTGTATTACAGTGTCAGACACCTCAATCTGTCTCTGTTATTGGGTTTTATTCCTTTAAAATTAAAGTGTGGGGCAGTGGGAGCTGGAGAAGATGTTATTCTGAAGGCAAAGAGGTTCAGCTGAAGGAAAAGGGGATGCTGCTGCACCTTTTCTCAGATTTACTTTACCACTTCCTAAAAAGAACAACCACCACCATCCTTAACCTTTTTCCTTTTCCCATGTTTTCTTGGTGTGTGCATATACAACATCTTTTAGAAGGATTAGGTAGATCCTTCTTTTGTTGGTCCAGCAACAAACTGAAGTTTTTAAAAAAAAATGTAGCGAGATTGTCCTCTCTTTTATTTTTTCTTTGTATCATATGATACAATGTATTTATCAAAGATGTTACTGCAGCATCTGAAGTCTGTAGAGTTCCCGATACAGACTGTGAATGGTGTATGTACCTACTTTAAAAGTTTTATTTTAAATGAGGGTGCAGGTTAATGCCAGGTACCTTACCAATATGTAATGTTTTCGTAAATGGGGAAAAAAGTTCTCAGGTTGAATTGAATACAAATACAAACACCCCTAGAATTAGACATTCCAAAAATTATGTTTTGGTACTTTCAAGAGCTTTTTTTAAAGGATTTTTATCCTGTTAACTAAATGTCCTCCGATAAGTGTGTGTGTAAATGTGGAGCATCTTGTCCTAATGGCAAGTTGTTAGATCAAAACAAAACGGTACTTGCTGGATCCACGCTGACTACTTCTCCTCTCATTGCTTTCCTCCCTCTCATCTCTTCCCTTCCATTTGCCTTTCCCTTTTGTACACTTTGCAAACTAGGATGAAGGTGGCGGTATCTCCATCAGACTGCTTTGTTTTCCTGTCCTCCAATCCTGGTTTTCAAGTGGTTGGTAGCTTTTTGACTACCCAGTCAGGGAAAAAACAACTCATAAAGTTCTGCACATTGTTTACCTCTAGTAGAATATCTTGTGATGTGAGCTGTTTGCAGAGTTCTCTGGTATGTGGTATTACCTGTAAATTATTTGTACAGAGGCAAGGCAGACCACGTTGGAAAGAAACTCAAGCTCAGACAGAAGTTTTCAGAATTTGATTCGTATTGGCCCTGTACCACTGCAGGTGAGGCAGGAGAACTGACCCCCAGCCTCCGGCAGGGACGTTCCTGCTTAGAGGTGGTGGGGGATGTGAAACAAAATCATGACGAATAAATGAAGGAGTTAAATGTGTGTGAATGTGGTGTCCATGCTAAAGATGGATGTACTGGGTGAGGACACTGTCCTTCCCTCCCTGCGGAGAGTTGGACTGTTTCTGTCTGCAGAAGGTTGCTCCCAGGTGAAGGGGGAAATGCACATCGGTAGTGGAAGGCGCTTTTAATACCCTAGAATTCTGCGGTGTTGCTGGTAGTCTGTTATGTTTGTCAGTAAATATTTACTGGGGTTGTAGGGACCGGACTAATCTGAAGTGGGAATTATAACTGAAATACTGTGTATTCATATTATTTCCACAAACATTAGCAAGACAGCAATAGTGAATGACTTAATAGTCACTACAAGAATGAAGTGATTCATGTTGGTACATGAATAGAATTGATTTTGTGTACAGGACGCATTTTAAAAACAAACAAAAAAAAGCACAAATTTTTTCTTGTCTGCCGTGGATCTTCAGATGCTGTAAGGCTTTTTCCTTATTAAGATTGGCAGGAATTTAAAAAGTAGCAATAGCCACTTTCCAGTGTGGAGAAGCCAATGTGCAAGTGGTGGTGAAGACTGGTGAAGTCAGAGTTCTCCCTGGTGATCATCTGAGGCCAGTACAGAAGAGGTGGAGGGAGCCTGGGGCCAGCTGGTGTCAGCAGGCAGGTGAGAGCATTCACCAGATACAGGCTCCCAGAGGGTGAAGTAGTCACTGCTTCTCCTTTCACCCTGTGCTTGGCTCCAGCCCTTCTGTGGGCTCTGGCCTCATTTGTACATGTCAGGCATACTGGAAATTATTGTTCTCTTGGAAGAAACTGTTAACGGAGCAATTATGGACAGGTGGTTCAACAGTCATTTGTTTCATAGAGCTTGTTAAAAGCCCTAGTTTCCTTCCACAAAGTCATGCTGGCAGAAGATTGTCTGTTAGGAACTTTGTTCTATCTTTGCTTAAAATGAACTTACTTTGGTGGAGATTCATTACCCATTAGTCTACAATATGCTTCTTGAGCCCATAGGAAAAGCACAAGGAAAATTGCTATCCTTGTCCATGCAAAGCACTTTATAAGTAACACATGATCTCTGGGTTGGTTTTGGGTTTTTTATGGGGGTTTGTTTGTAGTTTTGGGGTTTTTTTGTTTCTGGTTTTGGTTTGATTTTTTTTTTCCCTGAGGAATGTGCAAGTTGTTTGGCTGCTGTTTAGATAAGTCCTTTCAGGATGCATTTCTACTGGTTTTCACGTTTGTTTGTTTCCCTTCAGATAAGTGTAGTGATATATGTTTGTCTGTAAAAGGTCCCACATAATGTTCATGCAAAACTTTGGAAGAAATATGGTTTGTAAATAATTGGGATTATTTTTAGTTTTATCTTTTCCTTCAGGTGTTTTTCTGGATGTCTTGCATGCCATCATAACCAGTCTTAAAGGTGCCCTGTAGGTGTTTAGTCAATGGGGAAATGAGTAGACGAGAAATGAGTGCCGTGGGATGAAGGAAGTAAACCGAAATGACCAATACATTCATGCCCATTACCCCAAATTCCTTAAGCTTATCGTGTTGTCCCAGCCACAAGCACATTCCATCGTATGGAAATGTTAGTACATATTTTGTGTGCACATGTTGGGACAAACGTCAGTCACACAGCTCTACGGTATCCAGTATTTAATAATTATTGGCAAAAGTACCAGTATCCAGTCCCAGCTATTCATGTCTTTATCAACCACATGTAGACCTTCCCCTCTGCCTTTCCTTTTCCATACAGTTAGATGAGGCCTGTTATCTGCTACATCTTCCCTGTCAGTACGTGATTGTTTCCTGTGTCGTGTTTGCTGGAAATGGAACATTGTAGTGGAGCTTAAACCTGATGGTAGGAGTATAGGGGGTGGGGTACTTTGAAAGTAATTTCTGCATGAATTAAGTCATACATGGCCCCAGATAAATTAGCCCAGTCATTTCTGTGTTGCTAAACTCACGCAGGTCATTAAATGAATCTACTTCTGCATTTTGTGTTTACCTAAAATTATCTGTTCTTGTACTTGAATGTTCTAGCAGCTAATGATGATGCAGAATGCTTGAGGCCAAGTACTGCCATCTTACCATGGCCTCTCAGCATCACTTGGATTAGTATGTGCTCATTAGAGGCAGAATTTGGCCTTTGTGACATAAAATGAGTAAAATTGATAAATACCATGTCATTCCACAATGCCCAAACTGGGGAAGAAGTACACTGAAGATCACATATAAATAGGTTTTCTTCTGTGTTTGCCTGGTGATGTAAATGCATCCAGCATTTTACAGAAGGTTTAAGGAAGCCAGAATCTCAGACAACTCACAAACAAGTTCAGATTGAAGCTTTGATAGCTGGAGGGGCTACATGTAGGGAAGAAGCACGTAGACATTTCACACTTTTGCAGCCTCTAGGTTTCATTGCCTTCTTGTCTATGAGTACAGCATGTGTAGCACAAACCCTTCATAGTACTGTATACAATGTGTCTTTTCTCTATTGAAAAAATGTATCACCGATAGCACAGTGTGACAGGAAAGCTTTCTAGGTACAGTCAAGTTAAAAAGCAGTTGTGTGATTTGACTCTTAGGGCATCACTCTGAAGGTGCTGGGTGTTCTTTTCTGTTATGCATTTTACACAGAAGTTTATGAAACGAACTTCCTGTTTGCTGCAGCCTTGTTACTGTGTGTTTGTACTTAGTATTTGTTTTGATATGCATTTTAAATACCTTTCTTCACTGCTTCATTACTCCATACCAACTGTGTGAAGTTTAACAAGGGCAAGTGCCACATTCTGCACCTGGAATGAGGCAACCCTGGATGTACACACAGACTGGGGAATGAGAGGCTGGAGAGCAGCACTGCAGAAAGGGACCTGGGAGTCCTGGTCAATGGCAAGTTGAATGTGAGTCAGCAGTGCCCTGACAGCCAGGAGGGCCAACCTGTCCTAGGTGGCATCAGGCAAAGCATCACCAGATCAACCCTCGAGGGAGGGGATTGTCCTACCCTGCTCTGGTGTGGCCTCACCTTGAGTACTGTGAAGCATTTTGGGGCACCTCAGTGTAAAAAAGACATTAAGCTGTAAGGCAGCATCCAAAAGAGGGCATGAAAATGGTGAAGGGCCTTGAGGGGAAGCCATATGAAGAGTGGCTGAGGTCATTGGGTTTGTTCAGGCTGGAGAAGACTCATTGCAGTCTTCAGTGTCCTCACTGGGGAAGAGGAGGGGCAGGCACTGATCTCTTGGCTCTCATGACCACCGACAGGACTCAAGGAAACAGCATGAAGCTGAGTCAGGGGAGATTGAGGTTGGATATGAGGAAAAGGTTCTTTACCCAGAGGGTGGTTGGGCACTGGAACAGGCTTCCCAGGAAAGTGGTCCCGGCACCGAGCCTGACAGAGTTCATGAAGCATTTGGACAATGCTCTCAGGCACATGGTGGGACTCTTGGGAGTGTCCCACACAAGGCCAGGAGTTGGATTCAATGATCCTGAATTCCAACTCAGCATATTCTGTGATTCTTGCTTAGTAAATAAAACTATCAGCAGAGCAGAGCAAAGTTGTTAAAACTCTTTGCACTGAAGTTTCAAGGATGCTAATACAGAAGCTACTAAGTCAGCACTGTGACAGCAGTAAATAACTATGAACCTGTGGAAGGAGGAAACTTTACAAGCTGCAGAATATAGAGTACCCTGAGAGGGAATTCAGATGAAAACTAGCATATCTCTTTCCTTTAGAAAAGAGAGCTACCAAGACCATCTGTTAAAGGGTTTACATAGGGACCCCCAAACCAGTTTTTGGAGTTTGCCAAATGATCATGTGCCTTTGCAACCTTAAAAAGTACAACAGAATGTAAACCAGGTGCTTTGTAACTAGAGCAGTGTCTTTGGTTTACTTCTGCTGCAGTAGTTTTGTATATAGCTATCACTATAGGTAGGTAGTTTCGAGTCACTAAACTTCTGTAAAGGAGCAAGGAGGGCAGAGCATTCCCTAGGATACCTATTAGCATTTCAGAGGTAGGAATTCAAGGATACCTAATTCAGTTACAGTAAACCTGCTGCTTGAAATCTGCTCTATCAACAGTTAAATGAAGTTCATTCAATTTAAAAACAAGTGTGCCC